TTTTTTTTTTTTTTTTTTTTTTGACATGGAGTCTCGCTCTGTCGCCCAGCCTGTAGTGCAGTGGCATAATCTCGGCTTACTGCAACCTCCGCCTCCCAGGTTCAAGTGATTCTCCTGCCTTAGCCTCCTGAGTAGCTGGGATTAAAGTCACGCACCACCACACCTGGCTAATTCTTTATATTTTTTGGTAGAAACAGTGTTTCACCATGTTGGTCAGGCTGGTCTGAAACTCCTGACCTCATGCGATCCGCCCTCCTCGGCCTCCCAAAGTGCTGGGATTACAGGTGTGAGCCACCGCACCTGCCCGGAGTTCAGAATCTTGGGCTTCATTATTTGTGTTTAAATAGATCATACAGTCAGGCGCAGTGGCTCATGCCTGTAATCCCAGTACTTTGGGAGGCCGAGGTGGGAGCACTGCCTGAGTTCAGGAGATGGAGACCAGCCTGGGCAACATGGTGAAACCCCATCTCTACTAAAAATACAAAAACTAGCTAGGTGTGATGGCACACACCTGTAGTCCCAGCTATTCAGGAGGCTGAGGTGGGAGGAGCCCAGGAGGTAGAGGTTGCAATGAGCTGAGATTGCGCCACTGCACTCCAGACTGGGTTACTGAGCCAGATCCTGTCTCAAAAAAAAAAAAAAGAAGGAAGGAAGGAAGGAAAGAAAGAAAGAAAAAAAGAGAGAGAGAAAGGAAGGAAGGAAGGAAGGAAGGAAGGAAGGAAGGAAGGAAGGAAGGAAGGAAATACATTCAAACAAACAGTTCAAAATGAAGTTACATACATAAGGATGTGTCATGAAACATCTCCCTCTCACACTTCTCCCCAGCCACCCAGTTCTCCCTTCTAGAGGCAACATGTGAAATCCTTCTCAAGCTACACTCTTCTTGAAGGTGTGGGCTTTGGGCAAAAGCGTTCATTCAGTAACCCCAGAAACTCGTTCTGTTTCTCCATAGGATTCTCTTTGGACAGCGTCCATACTGGTGGGTTTTGGACACCAACTACTACGGCAACACTTCTGTGCCCCTGATAAAGCAGTTCCCTGTCACCTGTGAGACTGGACCAGGTAAGCATCCCAGCCCCTGTAGAGACAGAAGCTGGGTGGACCTTGTTCATCTTTATGGATGAAACTGACCTTGAGGGCACATGAGGAAAGCCATTCCTTTGTACTTTTGTCATGCTCTTCAATTGGCACAAATTAATTCACTTCAGCAATGCTTTCCTGAATAGCACAGTCGTATTGGAAATCTGCCTGTTACAGAACCTGGGTGGAGTCCAGAGAGGTACGGGCACCCACGGGCAAAGGCTCATGAGAGTCACTGCCCTGCAGCGCTGTGTCCTGAGAAAGGAGGGGGCAGAAGCCTGAGCTCCTGGGGGTCCTTCCCAATGGCCCGGCCCACTGGATGTGCCCTCCTGAGCTGACTGTCCAATCCCTCGCATGCCTACATTTTATTAGTTACAGCCAGATGGGTACTGTCAAATCAAATGATAGATTTCATTTTCAGTATGTAATAGGAAGCCCCCTCCCTTGCCCTAAAGTCTCAGCTGCCCTCTGAGACTAGTACCCTCTAAGGTACTAGCATTCCTTCCTCAGAGACCCTTTCCTGACCCCAAAACTAGGGAAGGTCCCTTAGTTATTCGCTCTCACAGACCATTCATTCACCTCAGAGCATTCACTCATTCAGCTGTTACTTACCAAGCACCTACTGGGAGCTCTACGCTGTTCTATGTGCTAGGGATACCTCACAGACACAAAGATCCCTGCCCTTGTGGAGCTGAAATCTGAATAGAGGAGGTGAAATATACAAAAATTGTAATAAATAAGTAAACTAGGCCAGGCGTGGTGGTTCATGCCTGTAATCCCAGCACTTTCGGAGGCCAAGGTGGGTAGATCACCTGAGGTCGGGAGTTCAAGACCAGCCTGGCCAACATTGTAAAATGCTGTCTCTACTAAAAATGCAAAAATTGGTCAGGCATGATGGCACATGCCTGTAGTCTCAGCTATCTGGGAGGCTGAGGCAGAAGAACTGCTTGAACCTAGGAGGCAGAGGTTGCAGTGAACCAAGATAGGGCCACTACACTCCAGCCTGAGTACAGAAGGAGACTCTGTCTCAAGAAAAAAGTAAACTATTAATATGTAGGATAGGCCAGGCACGGTGGCTCACACCTGTATTCCCAGCACTTTGGGAGGCTGAGGTGGGTGGATCACCTGAGGTGAGGAGTTCAAGACCAGCCTGGCCAACATGGTGAAATCTCATCACTAATTAAAAAAAATACAAAAACTTAGCCGGGTGTGGTGGCAGGCACCTGTAATCCCAGCTACCCAGGAGGCTGTGGCAGGAGAATCACTTCAACCCGGGAGGTAGAGGTTGCAGTGAACCAAAATTGTGCCACTGCACTCCAGCCTGG